CCATGTGTCGAGGTGAGGCCGACTATTTCTAGCCAGAACCTCTCAGCCTCACACACGAGCACCGGCTCCTTCCCCACCAGAGAGGTGACGTTCCATGTCCCAAGAGCCAGCTTCTGCAGCCGAGGGTCAGATGTCCGGGTCCCCTCCTTCCCTCCACCCGGCCCCTTTGGCCCCTCCTACAGGTGGTGAGCCCGTCGGAAGGGGGACCGACCCACGTCTCCTCTTCGGGCTGAGCCCGGCCGGGCTCCGTGGGTGAAAGCCCGGCCACCAGGCGCTCGCCATCGTGCCCCACCTCCAGGCCTGGCTCCAGAGGGGGGCCCCGGTGACCCGCGTCCGGGCGAGGGAACGCCAGATCCAATGTTTGTATTCATCATAAGGGGTCTTCTGACCCTTTTGTGCCTAATGACATTACTCACAAACCACAAGAACCCTGCAATGCAGAGGATCCATGCTGAAATAAAGATTTCCTCAAGGAATTCAGTTGTTTGCACTCATAGAATAAAGATGTTTTTATGTCGAATTTCCTGCCTTTTCCTAACGTGTTTAATCCCCATGAGTGCTGTTTAAGGATATATATGTATTGCAAACGGGAAGTGCAGATGGAGATGCAGAAGCTTTTTTGCCATGAATGGTCTTAACTGCGTCATTGCTTAAAGAGGCAATCAATGGGTGTGGAATGAGCAGCAAATGGATGCATGAGGAATGACAGCTGCTCTTTATGTGATATTTACTTCAATGTTTCCCAGGTGATGAGAGTGCAGCAAACACTCCGCCACTGATCTCCCGGTTTTTGCCCCGCCCCACGCAGACTGGAGACGGCGAGCCACCAGAACCGCTGTCTGTTAAACATAGCACCGTGACAACGGACCGCTCCCGCAGCCCTCGAAMGCCTTCCCCATCAGAGGTGCGTCTGTGCGACACAACACCAGCAGCACACACACCACATTCATCGTTAAACCTGTATATTTATGCAAAATATAAATGCTGTCAAGGTAATTGTACCAGTTCACTAATATTGAAGATAGTAGCTCTTTGAATAATTTTAGTTTGAAAAGATAGTTGATTTTAGACTTCATATTTCCGATAAACTTACAGTTTGAGTGCGGCCAAGACTAGCGACAAGTGGTTCATACGAAGGCATTTTTGTAAACCTTTACACTGCCATGAATTTCACATTACATGGTTATTTCAGCAGAAATATTATGACATTCCTATCAGAAGTGCCCCAGGCTGAATGGGAATTGCTTCACTTAGCTGCTTTTTGTGCTTGCAAATATTCATAGCATTTTATCTAGATAACCACGTAATTGACTGTGGTGTTAAGGTTTATAAAATTGGGTTCGAATGAACTGCTTTCAGTGTTTGGAGATAGGAGTTGTTTTAAGACATAATGGATCCACTTTGGCTAATTCAGAATAGCCATCATACCTGGTCTATCTGGTCAGAACCAAACTACACTTTTCCTTGTTGGAAGTTTTTTAAATTGCTGTCTACAACGTAAAATATTCATTGTTCATAGCTTTTTAATAGAATACCACTACAAAAGATCTGATCACTTTAGAGTTTTGCATTAGCTGAGTTATAGCTTCAAACTTTAGTTTAGTTTTAGTTTAATAGTTTATTCATTTCAATTAAAAACAAAAACTTCAAAACAA